TTCTTCATGACTTTTGATCTATAAATATGTTAGTAGGACAGAAAGTTGGTAACCATTTTTCTTTCCCTTTGTTGCATAAAAAACGTCTCTACAAAAGTTCCATGGAACCATCTTGAGAGAAAAGTGAAAACATAGAGTTCATAGACTTCCTAAATTCTTGTGCAAATTTGAGGGAGAATTCACAGTTGAATCTTGAGAACAGATTGTTCACGCACTACTGCACAAAGGGAAGGAGCAAAATTCTGTTTTAGGACATTGATCAAAGATCAAGCCTCCGTGATTTGTAAGTTAGTAAGTTATTGTTATTAACATTGTTCTAGTTTATCACATCAGTGATTTGAACTTGTTTAGTAGAAAGATGTGTTACTGGTAGTTTTCCGTTTCCTTTTCTTAGACTTCTCTTTAGTCTCCAACAATCCAAAACAGAATTTTTCGTTGGAGGTTTTCTTGAGTCTATCTTTATTAGTTCATTGATTTGGTTTCACTTGAAAGCCGTTGAAAGATATGGCTTCAAGTTCTGATGTGAAATCAGATGTCCAGATCTCTAACAAGATCAACGATGAAAGGCCAGAAAAGTTTAAGGGAGTAGATTTCAAAAGATGGCAGCAGAAAATGCTATTTTATCTTACAACCTTGAACTTGGCACACATCCTCAAGGAGGAATGTCCCAAGCCAGTGGATCCAGATTCAAGAGAGTCTTTCTTGACCGTAGAGACATGGAAGCAGTCTGACTTCCTGTGCAGAAACTATATTCTTAATCGTCTTGATGATACGCTATATGACATATATTCAGCGTATTCTACTGCGAAGGAAGTTTGGGATTCACTGGAGAAGAAATACAAAACGGAGGATGCTGGGACCAAAAAGTTCGTGATTGGAAAATTCCTCAAGTATATAATGGTGGATTCAAAGCCAATGACAAAACAAGTAGAAGAGATTCAAATTCTCATGCATTAGTTACATGGGAAAGAATGCTCAATTAATGAACACTTTCAAGTTGGTTCAATAATTGAAAAATTGCCTCCATCTTGGAATGATTTCAAAATCTACTTGAAACACAAGCGTAGAGAGATGTCCATGGAGGATCTGATCTTGAGGTTGCGAGTAGAGGAAGATCATCGCAAGGGTGATAAGAGTGATGCACTCTCCATGGAGGCCAAAGCCAATATGATTGAAGGATCGAGTTTCAAGTCAAAATTCCAAAACAATAAGGGCACAAAGAGAGTAGGAGGGCTGGAAATTCTATGGCACATAAAGGCAAGAATTTCAAGAGGATCATGCTGGGTGTGTGGAAAACCAGGGCACAAGACAAAAGATTGTTACTTCAGAAAAGGCCAAAATGATGCTCACTCCTTGAAGAACAAGGAAACAAACATGGTTGAAGAAAATGTTCAGCATATGGACACCGATGAAGATAATCTTGTTGCTGTAGTGACTAAACTGAACGTCGTTTCTGATATCAAGGGCAGGTGGATTGATACCGGAGCCACAAGGCACATCTGTTCGAATGAAAATATGTTTTGTGAGTACAATAAGGTCACAAATGGTGAATAGCTCTACATGGGAAACTCCTCTTCTTCAAGAGTGGAGGGGAAAGGAACTATCAAATTGAAGTTCACTTCTGGAAAAGTCGTAACCCTCAAGGATGTTCTTCATGTACCTGATATTAGAAAGAATCTAGTTTCTAGTCCACTCCTTAGCCAAAAAGGATTCAAGCTTGCATTTGAATCCAATAAATTTGTACTTACTAAGGGTGGAATGTATGTAGGAAAATGCTATTTGGCTGATGGTTTGTTCAAACCAAATGTAATGGTTGCAAATGCTATGAATAAAAATAATATTTCTGCTTATATCGCTGATTCCTTTGATTTGTGGCATGCAAGGCTAGGGCATGTTAATTCTAGATCTTTGCATAGAATGATGAATTTGGGACTTATACCTAAACTTGACTTTGATGTCAAAAGCAAATGTGAAGTATGCGTTGAATCGAAATTTGCTAGACATACTTATAAAACTATCCAAGGAAGAACAAGTGAATTACTTGACTTAATTCACATAGATAAATGTGACTTTAAGTCACTTCCTACACGTGGTGGGAAAAATTACTTCATCACATTCATTGATGATTGTAGTAAGTATTGCTACGTATACTTGATCAAAAGTAAAGATGAAGCTTTGGAAATATTAAAAATTTACAAAGCTGAAGTTGAAAATCGACTTGGAAGAAAGATAAAGGCAATACGATCTGACAGAGGCGGAGAATATGAATCTGATGCCTTTGCAGAATTTTGTGCTATACATGGAATAATTCGTCAAACTACTGCACCTTTTGCACCTCAACAAAATGGTGTAGCAGAAAGAAAGAATAGAACACTTAAAAACATGATGAATTCCATGTTAAATAGCTCGGGTTTACCTCATAATTTTTGGGGTGAGGCATTACTTACTGCAAATCATATCTTGAATAGAATACCATATAAGAAGACTAATAAGTCTCCTTATCAGATATGGAGAGGACGGTTACCAACATATAAAACATTTAAAGTGTGCGGTTGTCTAGCAAAAGTCTTAATTCCTATACCTAAAATGACAAAAGTAGGACCTAAGACTGTTGATTGCGTTTTTATCGGTTTTGCAAATCATAGTGCAGCATACAGGTTCTTAGTGATTAAATCTGAGAATCCAAATGTTCATATTAATACGATTATTGAGTCTAATGAGGCTGAATTTTTTGAAGGAATTTTGCCTTATAAAGATAAGGAGACAATCTCAAAGAAAAGAGGTTATGACGAGAGTCGAAATGAGTCTCTTAAATTAAGTGTTAAAGATCAAAACATGGAACCAAGAAAAAGAAAAAGGACAAAAATCTCTAAGGATTTTGGTCCAGACTTTATCAGTTATCTAACTAAAGAAGAGCCAAGAACCTATAGTGAAGCTATGAGGTCACCTGAAGCTCCTTACTGGAAGGAAGCTATTGATAGTGAAATCCAATCTATTTCACAAAACAATACTTGGGAATTGGTTGATCTTCCACCTGGATGTAAACCAATTGGTTGTAAGTAGGTTTTCAGGAGGAAACAAATATAAAGCACGTTTAGTAGCTAAAGGCTATCAGCAAAAGGAAGGATTGGATTATTTCGATACTTATTCTTCGGTTTCTCGAATTACATCTATAAGGATGTTAATAGCAATAGCTGCCATATATAACATGGATATACATCAAATGGATGTTAAAACAACCTTTCTGAATGGTGAATTAGATGAAGAAATTTATGTGGAACAACCGGAAGGTTTTGTGGTCAAAACTCAAGAGAATAAGGTGTGTAAACTTGTCAAGTCTCTTTATGGACTTAAACAAGCACCTAAGCAATGGCACGAGAAATTTGATCACGCGATGTTATCACATGAATGTGACAAATGTGTGTACTACAAGGAAATGAAGAATTCCTGTGTTTTAGTATGCTTGTATGTTGATGATATGATCATAGTAGGAACTAGTAACGATGCAACTAGGCCTAGCCAACGTCCTTGGTGTATTGGGGGGGACTTCAACGTGATTGTGTCGCCGGATGAGAAGAGAGGGGGGCGTTTCTTTGTTCCTGCTGAGGGGTTGGAGTTTATGTCATTTATGGAGGAGGCCGAGGTCTTTGATGCGGGATTTTCAGGGTCTAGCTTCACCTGGTGTAACAATAGGCGAGGTAGATCTCGGGTGTGGAAGCGATTGGATCGGCTCCTAGTGAATGGGGATTGTGCGGAGCTTTCTGCTGCTATCTCGGTGCTCCATTTGGCGAGGCACCCATCAGATCATGCCCCTCTGAAAATTACATTTGCTACTCGTCAGGACAATAAGCCTCGGCCTTTTTGATTCCTCAATGTCTGGACCTCTTCACCCTTGCTTTTGGAAGTGATCCGCTCTTCTTGGGAGTTGCCCATAAATGGGTCTCCCTGGCGGGTGCTGTGTTCCAAGCTTTTAGCCGCGAGGAGGGCAATTCAGCATTGGAATAAATGTTCCTTTGGAAATATTTTTGATAATGTTAAGGTGGCTGAGCTTCAGATGGTGCAAGCAGAAATGGCGGCCGAGAGTGAGGAGTCGGAGGAGGCTCACATCGGCCTGCAAGAGGCGCAGGCAAAGTTTCGACATGCATTGGCAATAGAGGAGCAGTTTTGGAGTCAAAAGGCGAGGGTCAAATGGCTCTCACATGGGGACCGGAATTCTAAGTTCTTTCACGCAGCGGTTAGGCAACGAAGGGTTCAGGGTACGATCCATCGTATCAAGACATTGGAGGGACTTTGAGTAGAGAAGGATGGGGACATCGCTGAAGAGGCCATTCGATTTTTCTCGGGGTTGTATTCAGAGTCTGTGGTGCCCAGCTCTGAGCTGCTTCCGTTAATTCCGCCTTCACTTTCGCGGGAGGACAACCTGATCCTGGAAGATATTCCGTCCATGGACGAGGTAAAAAGGGTGATACATGCTATGGATGGGGACAGTGCGGCAGGGCCGGATGGCTTCACGGGTAAGTTCTTTACATTTGCTTGGGAGGTCATCGGCCAGGATGTGTATAATGCTGTGGTGTGTTTCTTTTGTGGGGCGGAGTTGCCGCGATTTGTCACCTCGACATCTATTGTCCTTATTCCAAAAGTATCCAATCTTCAAGATTTCTCTAATTTTAGGCCTATCAGCCTATGTAATTTCATTAATAAGGTTCTATCGCGTCTCTTGGCGGACCGATTAGCTGGTCTATTGCCAAAGTTGATCTCCCCCAACAGTCGGGGTTTGTCCAGGGCCGAAACATTGTGGAGAATTACCTGTTAGCACAAGAAATTGTTGCGGGCATCGGGAAAAAGTCGAGAGGAGGGAATATCGTACTAAAATTGGACATGGCCAAGGCATATGATCGGGTGTCCTGGCTCAATCTGATTGGGTATTGAGGAAGTTTGGATGTGGCGAACGATTCATTGATATGGTTTGGCGCCTGATTTCAAACGTCTGGTTTTCGGTTATGGTCAATGGGGCGGCACACGGCTTTTTCAAGTCTTTCAGGGGACTTCGTCAGGGGAACCCGCTCTCCCCTGCACTATTTGTTATAGCAGCAGAGGTTCTCTCAAGAGGGTTGAATAATCTGGCGGTCCAGCCGTCATATCTAGGATTCACGGTACCTCAAGGTTGCCCAGGGGTAACCCACTTAGCGTTTGCGGATGATGTGTTAATCCTTGCTAATGGATCCGCGACAGCTCTTCGTCGTGTTATGAGGGTACTGGATGCGTATCAGAGGTCTTCCGGTCAAATGCTCAACGTTCAAAAGAGTGGTTATTTGGTCCACCCGTCTCTGTCCGTCGCTCGTCGTAGGGTAATTGAAAGTATTACGGGGTTCTCGCGGCAGGCATTTCCCACCCGCTACTTAGGATTCCCCTTGTACATTGGCAGGTGTAAGACGAGCTATTTTGCGGAGGTGTGTCAAAAGGTGCTGGGGAAAATCTTGTCTTGGAAGTCAAAATTTTTATCTTCGGGGGAAGGCTCACTCTGATCAAGCATGTTCTGTCCGCTATTCCAACCCATTTGCTTTCTGCTGTAGTGATGCCCAAAGCAGTGTTTAGAATCATCGAGAGAGCTTGTGCTAACTTTTTATGGGGCTCATCGGAGGAGGGCTTCAGGTACCATTGGATAGGTTGGAATAAATTGTGTTTTCCACCTGAGGAAGGAGGTGTGGGGTTTCGACGACTCAGGGATGTATATACAGCTTTTTCATACAAGCTATGGTGGCAGTTTCGGACAGGGTCGTCTCTCTGGACTACCTTCATGCGCGCAAAGTATTGTTGGGGAATTCATCCCTGCCAGGCGGAGCGCAAGCTATTTGCTTCAGCAACTTGGAGGCGGATGCAGGATGTAAGTCGACAGGTCGAGCTCTCCATGCTGTGGTTGGTTCAGGATGGGTCGTGTCATTTCTGGTACGATAATTGGTTGGGGAGTGGCGCTTTATTTCTCAGGGCTCCAGTTGTGTTGAATCTATCTTTCAGGGACTTCATCATTCAGGGTCACTGGAATGTCCATCTTCTGTCTCAGGTGCTTCCAATGGATATTACTGCTGTGGTGCTGAGTAAGTCGGTTCCTGATGAACAGAGTGCGGATGAGGTAGTATGGATGCCGGCAAGGTCTGGCAAGTTCTCCTTAGCCTCGGCCTATCAGGAGGTACGCCCGGTTGGTAACTCTTCATTTATGTTTTCTAGGGTTTGGCAAAGGCCGACCCCGACGAAAGTATCATTCTTCATGGGCTGTCTCCTGTGGGGCCGGCTGCCATTGGATGATGTGCTCCACACGCTTAGTTTTCAAGTAGCTTCCAAATGTCAGTGTTGTTCTCATCCGTCGGTTGAGTCTTTTGAACATGTTTTTTCGACGGGTCAGGTTGCAGAGGCAGTCTGGGGGTTTTTTGAGGGGCTGTGTGGCATCTCTAGTTCAGTTCCGTACGTGCGGGCCCGTCTCGCTTCTTGGTGGTTGGCCTCACCCAGATTGAAGAGACGGCAGGCTATCTACCATATTCTGTCGAGCCTTATCTGCTGGCATCTTTGGAAGGTGAGGAATCGTGCAGTTTTTGAAGGTATTCAGCCGCAATCCAGTTCCATTTGTCAGGTTATCTTTCGGGAGACTAAGGTTTTGCTTGAAGGTCAGCTTAGGGAGCGGGTTGAGGCCCAGTCATTCTTGCAGTTGTGTGAATGGGCAACTCAGCCACGTGGGAGGTTTGGCTTTAAATTGGTTTGTTGGAAACCAGCTTTAGAGGGGGAGGTCACCCTGAACACGGATGGCTGCTCCAAGGGTAATCCTGGGCTAGGTAGGGGGTGGGGTTTTACGGGACATTGTGGGACGACCCTTGGTGGGGTTTTCGGCTTTCTTCGGGCCGACATCTAGTCTTCAGGCCGAAGTGCTAGCTCTCTTGACGGGCCTCCGGATATGTGGTCAGAAGGGGGGTTACAGATGTGAGCATCCAGTTAGACTCTCTGGTCTTGGTTGGAATTCTTCAACGCCGTATGCAGTGTCCTTGGCATATTCGTGGGGAGGTCCGGCAGATTTGGAACCTGGTTAGGGACCCGTCTAGATTCTCTCATTGCTTCAGGGAGGCTAATAAGGTAGCAGATGCTTTGGCTAATATAGAGGTAGCCCACCCTCATCAAGCTGTTCAGCTCTATGAGCACTGGAGTGATTGGCCGCAGCTGGCCCGTGGAGGTGTTAGCCTCGATAGCATGTGGGTCCCTTCCCTTAGGACGGTGCGAAACCCCTAATCCTCGGTCTTCTATTCTCTGATCTTCTCTCTGTACTACGACTTCTATTATGAATAAAAGTGGGGGTGGCGTCCCTTCCCTTTGTCGGGGTTAGCCAAAAAAAAAATGATGCAATAAACTCAACTAAGAAATTGTTGAGTTCAATGTTTGACATGAAAGATTTAGGTCAAGCAGGTGTAATTTTGGGCATTAAAGTCAAAAGAAGTGATGAAGGATATGTCCTTACCCAATCTCATTATATTGAAAAAATACTCCAACGGTTTAATCAAACGGATTGTAAACTAGCAGTAACTCCTTTTGATGCTAATTGCAATTTGCAAAAATATAAAGGAGATCCAATTCATCAATTGGAATACTCTCAAGTGATCGGGAGTTTGATGTAACTGATGAACTCTACTAGACCTGATATTGCTTATTCAGTAAGCAGGCTAAGTAGATATACAAGTAGTCCAGGATATGACCATTGGAAAGCATTAAATAGAATACTAAGATATTTGAAGTTTACTTCAAATTATGGACTACACTATACAAAGTATCCTCCTGTTCTAGAAGGATTCAGTGATGCTAACTAGATTTCAGATAACACAGAAACCAAGTCGACTAGTGGATATATATTTACACTAGGTGGAGCAGCAGTATCATGGTGGTCCTCAAAACAAACTTGTATTGCACATTCTACAATGGAATTAGAGTTTGTAGCATTGGATAAAGCTGCTGAAGAAGCAGAATGGCTTAGAAACTTTCTGGAGGACGTTCCAATATGGCCAAAGCCTATCAAAGCCATTTGTATACATTGTGTTAGTATGGCTGCTCAAGCTCAAGCTAAAAATAGTGTATACAATGGTAAATCAAGGCATATTAGGCGCAGACACAATACAATTAGACAATTGCTCTCGAATGGAATTATTTCCATTCAATTCATAAGATCAAAGGCAAATTTAGCGGATGCTTTGACTAAAGGCCTACCAAGAGAGCAAGTCAAGTTCTCATAGAGGGAAATGGGTTTAAAACCAATCAATGAGTAAAATCCGGTGGAAACCTAACCTAGCAGATTGGAGATCCCATGGTCTAGGTTTAATAGGCAAACTGGTTGGATAATACTCAAATAAATAAAGCACATGAGTTGCTCATTTCTATGATAAACATGTGTTGTTGTTGATTGTTGTAGGGTATACGTAAGCATTTAATGACAACTATAAGAGTTCTTTAGAACCTATAGTAGAGTTACCTATGTGATAGTAAATGTGGGGTCGCATTTATGAGAATGATAATGGCTAACTTCTCTAAAGCTATCATGAAACCGGGATTTGTTCAGGACCAAAATTGAATAACAACATTGTGAACTACTGTGCTATTTAAACATAATTGTGTGTGCAGTATATTGTCTTGGTTACTACAAATGGTGATCAGTTCAAGATCAGCTATATCCACTGCATCATCAAGTAACTCCGGTATACTCTTACTAAGGTAAACTTCAAGTCTTCTACGACACTTCACCCGATGCACAACATGTTAATTTTCTCTCAAGAGTGTATTATTATTATATTTATTTTTGAAGTTTTAATTCAAATGTGGGGTATTGTTGAAAATGAGGTCTGAATTAAAACTTTCATTAGTCTAGGAAATTTTTTCTTAAAAGTTATGATTCTTCATTTTTTCCAGATCAGTTTCTTCTTGACTTTCGATTGGGAAGTCATGACTTTTGGTCTAAAAACTGTCTACCAACAGTTTCAACAGTTTCTTCATGACTTTTGATCTATAAATATGTTAGTAGGATAGAAAGTTGGTAACCATTTTTCTTTCCCTTTGTTGCATAAAAAACGTCTCTGCAGAAGTTCCATAGAACCATCTTGAGAGAAAAGTGAAAATACAGAGTTCATAGACTTCCTAAATTCTTGTGCAAATTTGAGGGAGAATTCACAGTTGAATCCGGGGAACAGATTGTTCACACACTTCTACACAAAGGGAAGGAGCAAAATTCTGTTTTAGGACATTAATCAAAGATCAAGCCTCTGTGATTTGTAAGTTAGTAAGTTATTGTTATTAACATTGTTCTAGTTTATCACATCAGTGATTTGAACTTGTTTAGTAGTAAGATTTGTTACTGGTAGTTTTCCATTTCCTATTTCTTAGACTTCTCTTTAGTCTCCAACAATTTTTTGTAGGAGTTGAAAATGGATTTCATTTTGGACAAGAAATAGGCTTGCAATATGATGATTGTTGAAGTCCTAAAATTTGCAAGGATGATGAATTTCAAAAGTGGTTCGAGTCTCTAGAAAAAGAAAACGAAGAAACTTATCACAAACGGAAGTTGACTCGAATCCCTCCAAACAATCTGGTCAGTTTTTGGAGGGATTTCTTGGAGGAATTCTAGGCAGAGAATTTTGGTGAAACAAGCGATGAATCCCTCCCGAAATCCGGCCAAAACTTAGGGGGATTGCTTGGAGGGATTTCGGTCAACAATTACGGTTTCCACTTGTGCAACTTACTTTTACCTCCATTCTTTCTCACCTTTTGAGGGACAAATTGTAGAAGATTTACAACTGTAAAAGGGAGATTCTAGCAACAATTATTGACTTCATTTCTTCTATAATGATGTGATATAACTTGGAGTCAAAATTGTTGACTTATTTGGGTTTGTGTTCACATTGAAGATGCAAGTAAAGGACATGAAGATTTCTCTATAAATAGGAGCTTGTGCCTTCATTTTGGGAAGCTTGGAAAGGGGCAAGGAACCCCACAAAAATTTAGTTTCTTAGGTCTTTAGTTTAGGTAGAGTAGGATGGTTTAGTTTTAGCTAGTTTATCCTTTCTTGTGTGTTAGTTAGATGAAGATGAAGCTGGAGGATGAAGAAGGTAAGAAGAGAGCTCATGTGACAAGGGTTACTCTACCTCCCCAACTCTCTATCTTTTATAATTGATTCTAAGTTTAGTTAATATGCAAGTTTTGGATTTTATATTTATTATGTGTTTCTAAAGTTTATACCTTGGGTTTTGGTTGAACTTTCTATGATTCTATTGTGTTAACTTCTTGGCTATCTGATGCTATTATTTTGAGCAATTTATTTAGCACTTTTGCTCCTTAAATCGTGATTAACTTGATACCATTTATTGTAATTATCTAAAGGTGTTGCTCCTTCAATGAAAATTGGGGTGCTAAACTTAGGGGGTACATTCATGAGAGTAGAGGTGCTCTTTGTAGATTTAGTGGCTTGTTCTATAAAAGAAATGAGTTTGTAGTTAATTTCATAACCACGAGAGTAGGTATAACTTAATTATAAGTATAGTTGATTTACTGCGAGAGTAGGTTTCACATGCATAAGAAAATTACGCCATAATTAGCCAACATAGTAGTTCTCAATGATCCATGAATTGCACTTGCATTAGTTTTACTTTCTTCAATTTGTTGATAATCTAAATAATAGAGAAGTTTTAGTAGTGCCGGTAGTTGTTCATTCTTTCCTATAGGTTCGACCCTTAATACCTTATATTCAATCTCGACCTGTATACTTGCAGAAAATCGCATGTGGTGTACTTAGGATTTGATAAGTGTTAAACTTGACTGTAAAATGAGTTTAATTATTATATGCATATTCCGCGCACGTCAGATACAATGGAGATTGAATATTGTCATGTATATCAAATCCAAAATGGGCAGGGACTTGGATCGATCCTAGGAAAGTAAAGTTTGGGTTTCAAAGGAAAGGAAATTAAATGAAGGTATAGTATTATTTGATTTCACTAGCTTCTCGTACTTATTGCATATGCATCTCAATTATGGAATTAAATGAATGATATATTCTCAATTGATGCAATAATGTTAGCAATTAAGAATGAAAACTTTCCTACTTTGTCGAACTTTTGTTGCATCTCCAATTATAATTTGTACCAAAATTTGTGGTCAAAACAATGACAAAAGTGTTCATCAATGGTTAAGGTGATAAAAAATATTAGCATATAAAGATAGATGCTATAAGGACAAATGAGAAATATAAGAAAAAAAATAGTTCACATTCATTTAGATAATCTTAACAAGAAGATCACAAGTCATTTGCATAATTATGTACTTAATATTAATATGAAACCCAAAAATATCGATTCGTCAATCAAATTTCAATGAACAATCAAACAGACAATCTCAAATAATTGAGACATTATGAATCATTAACTCTCTTATTATTGGCAGGAGCACTAAAAGAAATGCAAACAACTGAACTTCGATGAATGCTACACCTCAATATGATTCGACTTCATGAGAAAAACTTAAAAAGTACAAACTAATATTGATAACTAATATTGGGTTTCACATATTAGTGGTATCCAATTAAGCAGTTGATTCTAAATTTATAATTTTATATTCTTGAGAACACTAACAGTGACTGTGAAAAAAAATGATGATTGGCATTGTGGGGCTAAATAGTATCTTTTGTTTTTGTTGCTAAAAAAAAAAGATATCTTTTGTTATCACTTATTCTTATCTAGGTAGAATAATTTTGATACATGATAGTCTAGTATTTAGACCATTATGCATGAGACTATATATGATGTCAAAATTAGAGGCGACAATTTGTTCAAAATCCCAATGGGTTACCAATGCCCACGGGAACTTTAGGCGGCATGGGTACTGAAATTTGATATTGAATTTAAAATGAGACAAATCCCAATTGTACCCATTAATTGATGGGAAATTTTGGAAAATATTTGGTACCCATTGGGCTCAAATAGCAAGGGCTCCATTTGGATTAGTTATTTTTGGGGGGTGTTTTTGAAATATTTTATTGTAGCAGTGTATATGAAAAATTTTTACTATAAAATTTTTTTGAAATATTTGATATACTAATATGGATGGGATGTTTTTTGAGTTATTGTATATTACTGTAACATTGTATTTGAAAAACTTATTTTTTGAAAAAATAGCCAATCCAAACGGAGTCTTAGATTCAAAAATTATTTTTAACAATTTTTATAGTCATACCAGCGAATATAATCTAGTAGTCTTTCTAGTCATTATCCACAAGAATTTTCAGCATTTCAGTCAGTTTAGACCTGTTATCCTTGGACAATGATAAGAATAAATATTCAATATCCTAAGTACCTTGGCCATCTTGATATATGTTGGAATATGACAGTATATCTATATTTTTCTTTATTTGTTAATCCAATTTTTGGTGGGAATCCTGAGTATAAAGCACTTGCATGTTTATTTAATAAAAATAAAAGAAATTTAATAAATCAAAAATATTAAAATTATATAAAAAATAAAAAATGAATTAAAGGAAAAAATGTATGTAGAAAATAGATTTAGGTATTGGGCGGGATCAATCTAAACCCATCCCAAAGTGATCCCGTCCAAGTTAGTCCTAAAACACATATGGGTAAGGTTGGGTCCAAACCCATATGATTCGGTTCCATCTCAAAGCCAAGCAAATCCCGCCCATTTTGCCATCTCTAGTCAAAATATTGCTGCAACCTAATTGATCGGGGAGCAATATAATGTTGATAGACTATTGTTTCTCCTCATATTAAAATTTTTGGGCTAGAATGAGATTGATTGCTTGCTTGCTCAGTTGAGTTTCAATCTCATTAGGAACATATTCTTATCCTTGGAAAAAGAGGAAGGGAGGGCGGACTTAAGGAGTATTTATGTGCATTTCACATTGCAGGTACACATTTTCTTCACATATGAAAATGTCATGATCATACGTAAACATCAAAACAATGCAAATTTTATGAAAAACAAAAAAGTCATTAAGTAACTAGTTACTGTCACAAAAATAGTAGTAAACTAATGCTTTTAAAAGGAGTAAAGTTTTCATAGTTCCTTGAACATTGCTTGATAATGTAAGGACTTGAATCAGTAAATGCCTCTTAACTGTAGGACTAATTTTTGATATGCAAAAGAATGCCGTAAATCAAACTTTGAAAATGGTGATGACCTAATTAAGCAAAAAATTAATTGACTTCACTACCTAGTTGGAAATTTAAAATTTTATTGACAAACTACTAAAATGTTATGAAAGTTCAAGGTAAATGATATCTTCAACAATCAAAAGGTTCATATGTTAGGTATTGTTAAATATGTTTCATAGTTCACATAATTAGTCAGTTGTCTTTGAAGAAGATATATAAAATTGGTAATGACAAAAATATATCTTATTTAAAGTTCATGAATACAAGTTATTCAAGCTAAAATTTATTAAACGAAGTAACTTTTTCTCATCTTATAAATTCTTCTACCAATTTTTTTTTAAAATTCTTGTTGTCCCGTCTTAATATTTGAATTTCAGCTCTTTTTGTGAAAACCAAGAATCCTTATATATTGATGTGGGCGTGAAAAGAGACTTAAATACCATCAGCATTGAGTCAAGCCTTATAGGGAACTCTGTAAATTGCCTTTTATTAAAAAAAATCTCAATCTCAATTTTTTCTTTGCATTTTAGATTCTTTGCTGG